GGCTCGTTTAATGCTCACAGCGTGTCCTACTATCCTTGAGGTACATTCTTCACTATCGTTGTCTGGAAAAGGTATTCGCCTTGGCTGAAAACACTGCAGTCGACACGACCTAATATTGCTTAGGATCTCAGATAGAGACAGTCTGTTTTCACAATGTCTATCGGAAGCATTGGTCCGTGAGTTATCGGGAGGGGGCTGTGCAACTTGGGAAGAGCTTGAAGAAGTAGACAACATTTCGGGGTCCAGCTGCTTTAGAATGGGGTCATGGGGTGTGGATAGTCGGTCCATTACAACCCTGAAATCAGAGAGGGAGAGCCAATGATTACTCTGCTTAGCAAATAAAAATGTATGTTTTATGTCACCCATCCTACGCCACTGTCTTTCACAAGTGACAGATAACCAGCAACGTATGTTCAAGAAATTCAGTCAATAGCAAATGATATGAGTGTTTAATTACGGTTCCAAAATATCAAGCCAAAAACATATCTAGAAATAAACATGCATGGCACTAGAAAAATAGATCTAATCCCCTACCTTCCACCTCGGCCAAGCCGCCTCCTTGCAAGCCCTATGCATCTTCGGGGGATTGTGAGGGTAGTGAGGCAATGTCTATACCGAAGTCTAGCCAACGCTGACAGTTCTGTGTTTTCTGAAGTATCTTCCATTTGGTCCAAATGTGGCTATAAAGACAAAAATACATTTTCAAGAACACATTTTTGACAAGTGTCCAACCGGCAAAACATTATCAAAAATGAAAAGGATCAGACCACTTCAAACATTGATTCTCCAGTTTTTATTCCACCTCCTATTTCACCCATTCTAACCTGCAAATTCAGTGTGTGTATTAAAATACTGACATTACCCTGATGGTTAATAAAAGGTACCCACAAATAAAAAGTGCAGGTCAGTCATCCCATTGTTCTCCCAATGACATGGATCAGTCAACTCCTCCCAGTGCAAAAACAGGCACACCTGGCCAATGTGAGAATACAGATTTATACCACAATCTGTATATTTGAATGGCTGGATCATATGACAGCCATCTCAGGTCTATGGGTATCTAAACCCACCCAGGAATATCTGCATTTTCCAGTTTTGCTATTGTGTTGATTATGACTTAATTATTTTACACGGACAAAACAGGGAGAGGAACCCTGTGTTAGCAAAAAAACAGACAGTATGTATGTTAAGAGCGCTACTACTGTTTGAGTGCAATTAAACAATCATAAAATGTAACAATACTGTTTCACACTTGGGATGAACAGAATACAAAGTGACTCATTTTTAGATGTCCTGGGGAGCCTTGGAGATGGTCCGATGGAAACACTATGACAGATCTGGACAAGTGAAGCCCAGTGGTATGGACGGCTGAGGACATAAGTGCAGATGTCGTCGCAAGGAAACTCAGCTGGCCAGGCTGAGCCGTTGCGGCCAAAGACACTGTCAATTCTGTGCTGTGTGATAGTGGTAGTCTGGTGCCGTCTCTCTGTCAGAGGTTGAAGCGACAAAGTCGTGGGGAGCGGTCTTTGGCTGAGACAGTAATAGGGGTGTAATACAGTAGTTGAGGGTGTCGGTCTTGAGGACAGAAAAGCGCTACGCGTTTCGAGGCTATGCCTCTTTGTCAAGCTCGGGTGAAAGTAGAAGGAACAGATTAATGGGAAAACCGCGATTTAAAAAAAACTGACAGCTGGGCAGGGATAGCACTCGTGGCCTTGTCCTGATAGGAGTATGAGAGTGGAGGGGCGGGACAGGCGTAGCAGACCGCCCATATTAGTCTCGAGTAGCATCTTGTTCTGAGCCAGCAATCCAACAACTGAAGGGTAAAATGAAAAACAAACACATTTAAACAAATTTAAAAGTTAAACATTAAGCACACTAAACGAATTTTATTCAAAAGGTTAGTTAAAAACGAGTGGGACCCATATTATTGATATCAGTTTAATCATGAAGACTGTGTAAGAAATAAAAAGAGGCTGATATTGGTGTCATTTTCTATATCAGATGCAACTAAAAACTAATGTATGAGAAAAGCATTAAAAATAAGATTTCCAAGTGTTCGCTATCGAACACATTCCTAACCATCTATCTTCATCTGAAAGGTTCCATCTCCTCTGCAAAAGAGAGACCTATTGGATCTACAAATGTAATACCCTGGTTCCAATAGGTCTCAACGAGGAGATAGAAATTCATACCATTCTATAAGCCAATAAAATTAATAATAGCCCTTAGCTTATTTTTAATGCTTTTCTCATACATTAGTTTTTAGTTGCATCTGATATAGAAAATGACGCCAATATCAGCCTCTTTTTACTTTTTATTTCTTACACAGTCTTCATGATTGAATTGATATCAATAATATGGGTCCCACTCGTTTTTAACTAAACTTTTGAATAAAATTCGTTTGAGCTTGACAAAGAGGCATAGCCTCGAAACGCGTAGCGCTTTTCTGTCCTCAAGACCGACACCCTCAACTACTGTATTACACCCCTATTACTGTCTCAGCCAAAGACCGCTCCCCACGACTTTGTCGCTTCAACCTCTGACAGAGAGACGGCACCAGACTACCACTATCACACAGCACAGAATTGACAGTGTCTTTGGCCGCAACGGCTCAGCCTGGCCAGCTGAGTTTCCTTGCGACGACATCTGCACTTATGTCCTCAGCCGTCCATACCACTGGGCTTCACTTGTCCAGATCTGTCATAGTGTTTCCATCGGACCATCTCCAAGGCTCCCCAGGACATCTAAAAATGAGTCACTTTGTATTCTGTTCATCCCAAGTGTGAAACAGTATTGTTACATTTTATGATTGTTTAATTGCACTCAAACAGTAGTAGCGCTCTTAACATACATACTGTCTGTTAATTATTTTACAGAGCACAGTTGGTAAAGCACAAGTTTAGCAGAATCCCATATTTACAATGTTTATGCAATTTAATAAAACAAAAATCAAAAAAACGGGCTTTCTCCCTTTAAAATCTCTTGGGATTTATCAAGGAACATTGGACTACACTGTTGCCTTTTGGAGGAATTGGACTACCTACTTTCAGGAGCATACGAATGACCGAATCAACAAGAGCTCTGACTCTTATGCCCTTTGCTTGAGCAGGCAGAATGTTAAAGTCAGTAACCATGAAGCAGAAGTCTCGTGAGGTCAGAGAAACGCATCACCGCGGGCCAACTGGGTGCGATGGCAATCACCGGAATGCCTTCCATCTCGATCCTGCGGAGCAGACAGGGAAGGTGCCACAGAGGAGGAAAGCCGTAGTTCAGACTGTACTCATCCCACGGAGCCACTGCTTCTGCTAGTGGATCCCTGCATCTCGAGGAAAACCTGTTCAGTTTGTGGTTATACCTGGAAACCAGAAGGTCCACATTTGGCCTTGAGACACAGGTCCTGGAACACCTACGGGTGAAGAAACCATTCTCCTGGGTCCACACGTTGGCGCCTGCTAATTGTCCACTCTTGGATTGTGGATGGCGGACAAGGCTAAAACTTGAAGTTCTGGCTAAAAACAGAATCTGTTTGCTTCTTTCTGTGACAAGAATTCTGGCCCCTCCGGATTGGATGCCTGCACAGTCACAGCAAGAGCTAATCATTGAAGCAACAGATGGACTACTTGGGAGTTCCTATACTTGGCTGGCCGGTTGCTTTTTTTCCCCCTCATTGTCATTTCCTGCAAAAGGCAACAGAATAACCCAATGTTCCTGAACTTCAATGACCCTGTGTCCCTTAAGAAATGTACTCTTAAGGATAACTGTGAATAAGAACATTTGATATAAACATTACTATATATTTTTAGCTATGCCACTCTGAAACACAGAAAATTGTGCTAGGATTGATCACTGTAGGTTCCCATGTGCACAAACATAATAGATGTGACTAGACCTCTGAAGACAAGCCAACGGCCAATCAATATGACTTAGGTGAGGGATGCGGCGTGGCAAAGCTTCTGATTGCACTCAAGTGTAAATCGCTGAAACAGTATTGTGACAATAGAGAAAAATGCCAATACAAAATAACTAAAATAGGACAATCAAGATAAAGATTGCAAGTCTGAGGATATAGGTATGACACTCAACATTTCTAGCTGAGAAATTAACATAGCAAACAGTGTGATCTTAAATATAAACCATTTCATTTATAGAAAAAAAAAACTTTCATACTGTATGAATAAAACCAGTGCCCACCCAAGTATAGTGTTCACATAGGAATAAAAGCAAAGAAAAGTCTTACGGCATAATACTGGCATCCAGTTCTTCTCCTGAAGGCATAGGGGCCATCGGGGTCATTGTCTTCCTCCGGCTCAGACACTGGAGAAGGTACCTGGGGAGGATAAACAAGGTATTATAAAAAAAACACTCCTCTTCTGAGACCCCAGTGGTTCCTCGATAACATTCCAGCTGCGGGACAAACCTGTGGAAACTCTTCATCGTCAGAGCTGTGGAAGTCATATTGTTTGATATCACTTTTGTTAATTACTGGCAATGGCTCTGAGGCCGGCAGGGCCTGAGGGATCACAACCGAATCTGCTTTCGGCTTCTTTGGGTACTTCTTTTTTAGCCGGATAATATCCAGGGTTTCTTCTTTGACAGATGAGTGGTGAATATTCTACAAAACACAAGAATATCAAAAATATTAGTAGGTCATATAAAGCTGCTATTTAGTGCAGTGATGGTGTAATTTCTTGATATATCACCACCAAGGGGTTGCACATAATATTCAGTGAAGGTAATACTATGGAACGCTGTCAGACTCAGCAAACGCCTAGGTAAGAAAAAACAGACAACTGTCTGCAACGACCCCAAGGGCCACAAATCTGGTACCAAAGGGAACCAAAAACCCCCCCCAAAAATCACACTTAACGTTACATTTATGCTAAAAAAGAAAAACTCTACAATAAAGCAACCCCTAAAGCAATACAAGACATTGAATACTTGCCCCTTCTGCTCCACCTGATCTCTGCAGTAGTGAAGAAACAAAATGCACACAATCTGACATTCTTGTGGGAGTAAACTTTTTTTTTTTAGTGCTCTGCTGTGCTGTGGTTCAATCCGTAGTCCACCTTAGTGTAAGGGCTAGCGGACCAAACCACTAGCACAGTGAAGTACAATGAACCAAACAGTACCAGAAGCACTGGATTCAGCAGGGTCTATGGTCAGCGATTAAGCCACACTACTGCAGGGATCAGTGAAATGCTTAGTAGTAAATGGAAGAGGATATCTGCTAGCTGTACAAAGTTACAGAGCAGGAGAGTCTCCATATTTTCTTCTACTAGGGTGGAAGAGCACAATACCTTATCATATAAGACCTTAGAGAACATGTACTTGAGGTGTGATGCTTTAAATCAGCTATAGCACAGGGGCTTCCTATTGTTTTTTTTTCTTTGTAATGTTAATTGCATTGGGATGCCATTCATAATATGCTGCACCAAAGTGTGACTGTTTGTCCACCAAGCTCACTTAAAAAAAAAACTATAAGTTCAATACAAATTAGTAAACTAAACGTGAGATTGTAGTCCATCACAGGAGTGAGCTTGGAGCAGTGGCTACTTTACAACACACACACAGGGACGATGGGGAACAAAAGTAGCCCCCCTCCAGGAGGAAGGACAGTGTCAGCACCAATTCAGAGATGATTTGAGGATCTACAGCCGAGTGATACACATATAGGATACAGTTTTAATAGTAGTTAAGGTACCTAAATGCATTTTTAAAATTTCACTCCTGAGTTTAGAGTCACTAATATTTGAGGCTCAGTGAGGCACAATGTAAACTCTGATAATAAAAAAACAAAATGCTTAATAAGGGGGGCTTCACTCAAAGAAAAAAGGGAAAAAATGTTGATGCAAATAAAAAAATAAAATAGTGTGAATATAAAGAGTGACTGTGGGAGGTAGACATGGTGATCATTGTAGCACAGGAAGCACTGGACAGGCTGTGAAAATGTTATAGAATGGAACAGTATCAAGATCACTGCAACAGACATTCTGTAACATAAAAACAGACCAACACAAGAGAAGAGCTAGAAAAAAGATTTTTTCTTTAATTATTTTTTTTTTTTCCCCACTACATCAGTTTTCCAGTCATCACCTAATTTAACACGCACAACGCATTATGCCAAAATCCAAACTCAGAAAAACTAGGCAAGTAGTAAAGTCATTTTTGTACAATACCTTAGTTTTGCATTCTGGAACTCTGTGATGGTTCCCATTGTGTAGTAACGTCGAGATGGGATGAGCTTCCTTCTCAATTTTCGGAATTTTTATTTCATTCAATATTTCACCTCCAAAGTCACCCAAATTATACCTTGATGAGAAAGAAAGCATTAAAACGCTATTTTTGAAGAAGGGTTTTAACAATAGGAGAGAGTCCTTTTCATGCCTACACTGAAATGCCATTTCCTGACTTTAATCTGTGCAAAAAAGAATAATGTTTACCCCCTAGACAAATGCACCCCCCAGAAAAATTCAAACACTGGCAACTTTATTGGTTCAGACAACATAAACAGAGTCCCTGCCTGGGACCTCCACCTCTGAAGTGCTTCACCCACAAGTCTGGGCTGAATTATTATAATGCACCCTATACTTTTGCCAATGTTTACCCCGGATACCGGCACCTTATTTTTTTCCCCTCCCAAAATTCTGCCAAGTAACTGGCACACGTAAAAACATTTTTACCAGAATGAACTGGTTTCTCCATTACCATCAGTTTCCTCATACATGCTTAGCAGTGATGTCAGAGCCCCCTCATGCTAGCATGCCGCCATCAGCTGGCTAAAAGTGGGGGATGTACAGATTAAAAATGCATTACTACACAAGTACCTGCAACACTTCATTTGTAGGGGAAAGATCTGGTTTAAAGACATAACTGTTTGAAGGAACATTATAATAGCCCTCGATTATCTTGCTCAACACAGAAAATGAACATTTCAAGCAAACCTACAGCCTTTCATTGGATTGAAAACAACATTAAGCATCTCACCTCTTCTCCACCACTTCCAGCGTCAAATGCAGTAATTCCCGCTTCGTCTTTTCTCGCCGTTTGATCATTTCTAAAATGGTTATGGCTCGGCTAAACTCCCTTCGTAACTTCAACATCTTCTCGTAAGATGCTTCATCATTCTTACGATTCTAGAGAAATTGCAGGAAAAGACGTGTTTATAATGGGTTATTGAGAGTTTAAGGATATACTATGTGTGTGCATAGCCGTCATATTTTCACAATGTTTGAGGAACACAATGACTGAGTCTACCGTGTTTCCCCGAAAATAAGACTGTCTTATATTTTTTTTGGCTCAAAAAAACGCACTAGGTTTTATTTTCGGGTAAGGTCTTATTTTTCTTTAATGTACAACAATCCACACTTATTACCGGCAGAAGACTTACAAGACAGGAGTGAGTGGCAAAGTTAAGAATAGGGTGATCAGGGTAATCAGGTGTGTCGTACCTTTCCAAGAGCAGATTGGTAACTAATCGCTGGCCAGAATGAGCGAAGCGCGCTTTCATGATCAATTCCTTTACAGGCGGAGTGCATTTGGTATCACTCCGTCTGTGACAGGAGCCGGCGCTATAGAGGAGGATTCGGCATATGCGGCTCTGCTCCCTCCAGCGCCGGCTTCGTGGGCCCCGCTGATTCTCTCCCGCGACTCTTCAAGTTACCCCTTATGCCACCACCGGCCCTGGGAATGGTCACAACTAGGTCTTATTTTCGGGGTAGGTCTTATATTTTAGCAATTCCCAAAAATAGCACTAGGTCTTATTTTCGGGGAAACAGGGTATTCATCAAGCAGTAAATGGAAGACAGAGGAGACATGTCTGAGGCTTTGTGAAAGTACAGTAAGTCCCCTACATGCAAACATTCAGTGGCAAACTTTTCAAAGATGCGAACATGCCAAAGGCAGCAATCTTCAGTAGGAGCCCCCGCAATGAGGGTGAGCATTACTGTGATATTACTGTGTTTTTTGGGGTGGGAAAAAAGTTATTTGCGGTTTCATTTTAGATAAATACTTCAAGTTAAACATTTCATATGCCAGCAGGTGGCGACCCATAACCAGGAACACTAGCTTTCCGGAGGCTAATGCACTGTTAAGTTACAAAATAACTATTAATAAAGGCAGATATGACAGTTTGGAGTTAGTCATCCTCCTCTCCAAGCAGAAAAGGTACCTTCTGGATTAGTCAGTTACAGACAGGCTGCTATCAAGCAAGCACACAGGTCTGGAATTCCTGATTAAGGTATCATGGATGCATTTTAAATGGTCAATTGTGTATTTCCCCCTCTCCATCTCTCTATCATCTATATATAACTATTTAAAACACTGGAAAAAAAAATCATAACAGACAAAAATAGCCAAAAAATGCTTGTCATTAGTACCCTGTCCTTCTCTATGGGACTACGCAGCTGTACGCTGCCCTACGCTCACCCTAAGTGCATGTCCGTACGGGTGCACGTTTCCTGGCTCGGATGCAGACAGGACCCATCCTGTCAGCGTACGGACACCCGCATGGTTGTGCAGGGCGGGTGAGCGTAGGGCAGCGTAGTCCCATAGAGAAGGACGTGGACTGTGTACAAATCACACGCAGCACCTGTCCTTCCCGGGAGCTGCCCCAGATGTGTTCGCTGCCCAGCTGGCGCCCCCCATCTTAATGCCCGGGGCAGCTGCACCATCTTACCCACCCCAACCCAGTTGTTATGCCACTGACTACACGCACACGGTACACATGCAACACAAAATACACACACTGTACACATAATACACACTACTTACACATAATACACACTACTTACACTGGTTGTACATCTCTATTGAGCCTGTCCACTATGAGCAGCCCGGGGAGAAGGAGGCGGCTGCGGTCCCTAACGATCAGTCCATGCTCACCGGGACTCTGGGGTGACCCTGGGACTCCTCAACACTTGGGACTTCCTTGGGACGGCCCTATTCATCCCGTCGACAGTCCACTATGATCACATGGGGAGGAGGAGGCTGAGGGTCCTCGAGCAGGGCATGAACAGCAGTCCACCGCTGGATCGGGGCTAATTACACTATATTGCGGCTCCGCCGGTGTTCACAAGTATGTGAGTGAGGCGGGGAGGGAGCGAGGGTGGAAGCGGCGACCAACTAAATCGATAATAAAAATCGTTGACAACGATTTTCATTATCAACTTTATCAATTAGATGTTTCAGCCCTAACATCTAGTACACAACCATTTATTATAAATCATTTTCATGAGAGTATAAAGCGATTACCTTTCGCGTTTGCATTTTCTCAGTTCTGCGCCGGAATGCAACATACGGATCGCTGTTGGTAGATCCGTCACGTTTCTCTTGCTTGATTTGGGGAATGAGGGAGGGCCCCCTGCAGTTTTTCCGTTTTCTTACCCAGTAGTCATACACAGATTTGATAAGGTAATCATCCTCGTTTAGCAGCAGTTTTGCTTCCTGAAGAGTGACAAGCTGCAATGTACCAAATCGCATGGTTACTAAACTCATTTACCATGAACTGCAGGTGCTTTCATAAAATGTGATGACCAATTATGTACAAACACTAGACTTTTCCAGTCCAGATGATTTTAACTGAAGCTGCGCAAGCCAAAATAAGCTTGTATTGAGTGGATGGATAGGAGGGCCAAGACATGAGGACTGGCTTGCATAATAGTTAATAGTTATCAAGAGCCGACAGGAATTCTTAACTAAACCAATCGCTACGGCTTGGCAGGTGCATCCTTTCACTCCATACAAGTCAATTTTCCCAGGGAGCCAGCGGGGGATCCCACTGGGAGGTAGAGAGTTAACACTTCAGTAATGCTTCAGATGGAAGAACTTAAAAAAATAAATAAAAAGAGACAATTTGGAAAAGATATAAAAGTCAAGCACCAAATCACAGAATGGAAACGTCTCAGGACATTACAGTCCTTAGTGGGGATGCAGCAAAAGTTTGCCCGAAAAAAGGTACTATAGCACCATTTTGTACCATATAGTACAAACACAGCAAAAAAAAATTTGGTTCAGTCTCAGCTTCTCTCCTCCCCGCTGGCTGCAAGCTTCAGTATTTATCCCCTCAGATCCCCGCTGCTCTTTCCCACCTGTGTCGGCAGAGGCAGTGGGGATCGGAGGGGACACAGAGCTGGTCCAGCTGCCGGCTCCTAGCAGGGAGGAGAGAAGCTGTCAGGAGGCAGAGCAGGGTGGAAAGCTCCAGAGCTTCAGGATCGGTACTGCGCAAACACCAAGTGATCAGTACTGATTACTCTGTTTGTAAATAACTGAGGACATAGTCCCCCCCGGTCATGAATTAACAGCAAGCACTATACATCACTTCCTGCTCATTTTATAAATGGACAGGAAGCAGCTCAACACAGAGGCTTCCTGTCCATTCATGACTGGGTTGATAGTAAATATTTACTGTCTCCAGATTATTGTGCTATTACCGTGCAACATACAAATTGCAACTAGCATCTTTTTATTCTACAGGGCCTCTGCTTTCAGAAAATATATAATTGTTTGGGGGTTTGAATTGTTTTCTAGCCAAAAATTCAGATTTGATCATTTCAGATTTCATTTCAGTGCATCCCTAGTCCTTACATGTGGTGGCTTCATTAGTTTAATTTTTCATGCTCCTGTCCCTGTATTTTCATCTAGTGATTCTGCCAATAATAAAATTCCCTGTTCTAGGGTGACGCTCACTCTCTGTACTGCATGTATGGAGGGGCAGAATTGTCATCCTAGGCTGCTCTCTAGATTTGGACTACTAAAACATCCCCCCTCCTTATCTCTATTACATGGTGGTGGGGGATACTTTGCATTTCACAGAAGACAGCATTTCAGTCTATTGCAAAGGAAGTTACAAGCATCCTGGATTTTTGGCAAGATCAAAAATGTATTTTTCTGCAATTGCAGGAAACGTACTTGGCCTGAAAAAAAGAACTAATGGAGCCAGCTCATCTAAGGACTAGTGAGCTGCACAATTAGGTATTAGTGTTTAAAGTTTAAAAAGCACGGCCATCAGCAGATCAATGAAAAGTAAACTCTCTCATCAATGGGTGTTAGAAGCCTATTTTCTATGTATAGTTTGTTATCATCTATATTACACAGGACCATCATACTTTACTGCAAGTCTACAAGACAAGCTCTATTTATCAGAAAACGATATCTGAAGTCTCTAATGACTAGTAGTCAGCGCCTGTATCTGTATCAGGAAGTCTAAATAAATGGCACCCCAAAGCCCCATGGATCTGGATTACCATGCGTTGTGGTAATGTGCATTGTACGACGTGCTATTGAAGTACAACACTGTGAAGCCACACTGAAGCTTAAGTACCAGTTTTAATTATTTTCAGTGGGTACAACAGTTTCCTGACTCCTGGGATGTTGCCAGCCTTGAAACTTTCAAAGGACGACAACCATAATGTCCTAACCAATACATCGCACTGAAAATAATTTTCATACCTGATTGGAGCTTGCCTTTTCCAGCCGGTCAATCATGATTTCAAACTGCAGTGGTTTAAGTTCCATTTTCCTGTTAAGCCGATTAAGCAATGTCTCATCTTCAGAGTCCATATCATAGTCTGGCTGCTCATTGTCCAGATTAAATGCTGAAAGGAGGTGGAAAAAAAATAGATGAATTCTTCAAACAGGTGCTCAATGCAAAACACAACAAACTTAACAAGGATAGGCCAATCATTACATAGTTTATTATTATTAGGTTATCTGAGGTTTAGGACTAGGGGTGCACCCATATCGGTATTTTGGTATCGAGTACTGATTTTTTTTTTCTTTTTCCGGTACTTGCCGATACTGAATACCAATACCGGAAGTCCCATTCAGGAAGCTAGGCAACGTGTAATGACTTACCATCCTGGCTTCCTGATTAGCCGGGAGGCGTGCAAAATACTCGCCACCCGGCTTCCGGATTAACAAGGCAACCGTCCCGATGCTTCTCGTCACTAGGTGACGAGAATGCATGGAGCCAGCTTTCTGGCCAATCAGGAAGCCGGGCGCTGTGTAATGACGGGGCGCACGACTTCCTGATTGGCCCGGGAAGCCTGCTCCATGCTCCCTCGTCACAAGCTTCCCGGCCAATCAGGAAGCCGGGCAGCGTGTAATGACACGCTGCCCGACTTCCTGATACCGGAAGTATCGGGCTACGCATCAGAGCATCGTACTCGTACTCGCCCAAATACTCGCCATTGGCACCGATACTAGCATCAGTATCGGTGCATCCCTATTTAGGACTAGGTTTGGCTAATTTAACAAACGGCAATATCGGGGCCGTTATGGTATTTTAGTTTGCATAGAGTAAATCTAACGCCATATTATTCCAAGTCTGCTACAATGCTGGTCTGGGAAGTCCGCATTGAGAGTTCACTGCTGGATTTTTCATCACCAAAAATTCAATTTTTATCTTACAAACCCCTGCCATCAATATTGTACGGTGGTTACTCGCACAACACAAGAACCTGGGGTCTGGATATTTTGCATTGGTCCCTTCAGAAAAACTTCCTTAAAGTGCCCATGTAAATATAAACTTCCCGACATTGGACAAGCATGCCTCTTTCTGCATCCCACAATGCAAAGTTCTGCACCCAAGCAGCGGCCCTGGGCATTTCCACATTGGGGGATACATGCCAATACAGTAAAGCAGTGCTAGACAAATCCTGGTCACCGTGGTGACAAAAAAAAATTGCCCAGGCTACCAGGGATTTGAGTACGTTTTCCTCAGTGACTTCAGCTCTCTCAGCCACCATTAGATAGCGCCTAATAGAATCATTAAATACTTCCAAAGCAATAAATAGATATTGTAGGCTACCACTGAGTAAACTCCTTGCAAACTATAGCAAAAAAAAAGTAATATATATTATAATATTTTTTTTCTCTTTAATTTAAAAAAAAAGAAAGAAATAGATCTGTGTCCTGCAAATTTAAAATACCATTGTAATGCTAGTAGAAACAATACCCCTGGGGACTCGCTTGTATGTATTTGTCACTGGCTGCTATGTGGCAACTTCCCTTTTTGGTGAATGGAGGGTCTCTATATATTGTTGTGCATTTGCTGGGATGGGGCAGAAATTGCTCTTGAGGTTTTAACTTCCATTACCACGGTATTTTAAACAATTATGTACAAACAAGCTTTTTTTGGAGAGGCTTCTTTGCACATTTTGATGTGTACATAGGAGTTTGTTCTGTGGTAGTCTGCAGTACAGGTTCATCGATTTGGATGTTCAGTAGGGATGCAGCGAAATTTCGGCCGCCAAAACACATAAGCCGGAAACGGAAACGAAATTGAGGTGCATCTCTCGTTTCTCTCCTCCCAACTGTGCGCTGCGCTGTGTCCCCTCTGACACAGTGCAAAGTCCAGCGGGGAGGAGAGAAACTGTCAGGAGTCCTAGCGTTGCGAAGAGGAGAGCGCTGCGAGCCGTGATGTCACAGAAGGCCGAGCTCTCCTCCCGCACAGAGACAGCAGTGCGGTTGAGGAGTCAGCTGTCAATTGAGACCAAGTTCACTTTCCTGCACCGCAGGTTCAGCCTCCTGTGACAGCGAGTCAGGATGAAGATAGGTTACAAGCAGTCAGCGATCACTGACTGCTTGTAAATAAGTGAGAACATAATATGTGTACTGTGTGCCCAATTATGAATGAACAGGAAGTGCTTTACATCACTTCCTGTTCGTTCATGATTGTGGACAACTCATACTATCTCCACAGGTTATGAATGCAGAAAAAGATTTCAGACCCAACTGCAGGGGATGCAGAAAAAGATTTCAGACCCAACTGTGTCCTAAATCTCTTTTTCTATTTCAAAAGGGAAATATAAGGAGTCTGCTTAGACCCCTAATATTTCCCCTTTCCCCAGAGCCACTTACAGTAAAGACAAAAATATAATAAATTATATATATATATATATATATAACAAACATTCTGTTTCGGCCTGACAATTTTTTTATTTTGCGGTCAGACAGTTTAATTTCAGTGCACCTCTAGTGTTAGTAATTCTACTAGACACCAGGGAAGAGTTTTTGTAGGCCACTAACCGATTTAATTCTCTCAGATTTACTCCCAAATGTTTCTTCTTCACTGCATTTTTGTTGTGTGCAACAGTGAGAAACAATATGGGTCAGCACTGTGAGATTGAGAGAGCATATGGGTCACAGGGCAATGGCAACCAGGATTGGTCTAGGTCTGTTTTATTGATATATTTACACACACTTTACATTTGCAAACTTGTGTAGAGCGGTCAGGAAAATAACACTGCAAAATAATGATCGCCATGGTTACCAGCTATAGTTTGTTGGATTTGTCCAGGTCTGCATTAAATGATCAGATGGAACTTTAATAGGTATGCCAGGGGTGCTCTGAGGGGGCCGATATTGAGATGTATGCCTGGGCATCATGCTCTTTCTTCTATGAATATTAGATTAAAAAAAATTTCACTGCAGGTACACTTTAAAAAAAATATCAAAAAGATCAGGATAAGAGGACACATAGTGAAGAGGTAAGCAGGAAGCATATACTAAAATTAACAGCATAGGTCTCATTTTCAATCATGAGTAAACTTAAAGATTAAATCCGAGATGAGCAGATATTTTGTCAAAATACAAGAGGCATGTACAGTGGCTTGCAAAAGTATTCACGCCCCTTGGCATTTTTATTTTTTTTCTATTTGGTTACATTACCACCATGAATAAAATTGATTTTTGGGGGGTTTGTATCATTTGATTTACTTTGAAGATGTAAAAAAATTATTTTTTTTTGTGCAATATAAATGAGAAATAAGACAAATCCCCCCCTCCCCCAAGAAAACTTGAGCATGCCTAACTATTCACACCCCCTTCCCCAAAGTCAATACTTTGTAGAGCCGCCTTCTGCAGAAATTACAGCTGCATGTCCCTTGGGATACAACTAAGTAAACATGGCACATCTAGCCACTGGGATTTTTGCCCATTCTTCAAGGCAAAGCTGTTCCACCTCCATCAAGTTGGATGGGTTTCGCTGGTGTACAGCAATCTTTAAAAGGAGAACTATGCGGTTAGGGCTTTTCCCCATAGTTCTCCTAAGGGTAACGGGAGGACACAAACTAGCGTCCTCCCGTTACCCTAAGCTCAGTATACAGCAAGCTACAGCTCGCGGTATACTGGAGACGCCGCAGCCGGAACGGATCACGACAATTATGTCTGGATCTACCCAGCTGCGTGAGTGACAGCTGGCTCTGCCTATCTAGAGGCAGCCAGCTGTACCCGCCCCCTCACCCGTCCATTCCGCCAGTCAGCGCTGGAGGATCTGACAGGAGAGGCCGGAATCCAGTCCCCCCCCGCCACGGCTCTCTGCAGTGACAGGATCGATAAGTGAGCAAGCGGTATGTGTTCGCTCACTTCCCGATCCCAAGCTGACCTGTGACAGTTTCATTGTCACAGGGCGGCTAGAACTATGAGGATGAAAATCACTCACCTCATAGTTCTCCTTTAAGTCATGCCACAGATTCTCAATCGGTCTGAGCTTTGACTGGGCCATTCCAAGACATTTAAATGCTTCCCCATAAACCGCTCGAGTGTTGCTTTGGCAGTATGCTTAGGGTCAATGTTCTGCTTGAAGGTGAACCTCCGCCCCAGTCTCAAATCTGTCAGACAAACAGGTTTCCTGAATTTCGCTGTATGTAGCGTCATCCATCATTCCTTCAATTCTGACCAGTTTGCCAGTCCCTGCCGATGAAAAACATCCACACAGCATGATGCTGCCACCACCATGCTTCACTGTGGGGATGGTGTTCTCAGGGTGATGCGAGGTCTTCGGTTTGCGCCAGACATAGCGTTTTCCTTGAAAGCCAAAAAGCTCAATTTACGTCTCATCTGACCAGAGTACCTTCTTCCATATGTTTGGAGGGTCTCCCACATGCCTTTTGATGAACAGCAAATGTGTTTGCCTATTTCTGGAAATAATGGCTTTTTCCTGGCCACCCTTCCATGAAAACCGGCTCTGCAGAGTGTACGGCTTAAAGTGGTCCTTTGGACAGATACTCCAATCTCCGCTGTGGAGCTTTGCAACTCCCTCAGGGTTATATTTGGTCTCTGTTGCCTCTCTAATTAATGCCCTCCTCGTCTGGTCCATGAGTTTTGGTGGGTGGCCCTCCCTCGGCAGGTTTGTTGTGGTGTCATATTCTTTAGATTCTTTAACCACTTCAAGACCAGGTGTTTAGACCCCCTTCCTGTCCAGGCCATTTTTCAGTGTTCAGCGCTGCAGTCCTTTGACTGACGTTTATTCCGTCATGCAACGCTGTACTGAAATTAATTTTATACCATTTTTTGGGGACAGATAGGGCTTTATTTTGGGGGTATTTAATCACCACTGGGGTTTTTATTTTTTATTATAATTAGGAAAAATTACAGAAAATTTTGAAAAAAAAAAGTTTTTTTTTACATTATGTTAGGAAACATTTATTATTAACCAGTTTTTTGGTAAAATATAAAAGATCGGGTCACGTCGGGTAAATAGACACCAAACATGTCAAGCTTTAAAATTGCGCGCACCCGCGAAATTGCAGAAAACTACC